TGTATACAAAGGTTTAGGGAGCTCTGGTGGCCTAGTGGCAAGAAGCTGCCCTGCAATCCCAGAGGTGTGCAGTTCAAATCCACCAGATGCTCTGCTGGAAAAGGAGGGGCAATCTCCTCCTGTACCAGTCAGATCCAATTTGACGGTACACATGCAAATAAAATAAAATTTTTAAAAAACATTTTAAGTATATATAAAGGTTCTAGTCACTCTATGCTGTAGTCTATTACAGGTGGGATGTTGTTATCAGGTACCATCAAATTGACTATGGCTCAGAGTGAACTCTGTGAACCACAGATCTGTCCTGTACCATCCTCACAATCTTCGCCAAGCTCAAGTCTACTGCTACAGTCACTGTATCAACCCAACTTGTTGAGAGTCTTCCTCTCTTTCATTGACCCTTTACCTTTCCAAGCATGACTTCGTTTAAGGACTGTTCACCCCTGATAACTTGTCCAAAGTGTGTAAGATGAAGGTTCACCATCCTTGCCTCTAAGGAGCACTCTGGTTGCCCTTGGTTTGGAAAACCAGAAACTCACTAAAGATTTAGGAGGGGAAATCCAGTTGCCGTTGGGTCCATTCTGACTTGTAGCAGCGGCATACGTGCGGTACTTACTGCTAATTGAAAGGTTGGCCGTTCTAATCCACTAACCATTCCGCGGGAGAAAGGTGGGAAGTCTCATCTCATAAAGGTTTACAGACTCAGAAACCAGAAGTGGCTCAGTGGCAGTGGCCTTTAGGCTTATAGGTTCATGGCGTGGTTTCTATGGATGCAGACTGGCTCCCCTTTCTCCCATGATGCAGCTGATGGGTTCAGACATTGTCGTTAATGCATAGTGTTTGACCCCTTTACTGCCAGACAGATGTTCCTCTGCTGAAGCAAGCTTATCCAAAACTGTGGCCATCGAGTCAATTCTGACTCAGGGTGACCCCATTGTTGCGGAGTAGAACTCCTCCATGAGGTTTTCACGGCCGTAAACCTTTCAGAAGCAGAGAGCCAGGCTATTCTGTTAAGGTACCTCTGGGAGAGTTAGAACTGCTAATCCATTGGTTATCAGCAAAGTGCTTAGCCCTTTGCACCTCCCAGGGACTCTATAACTCAAGAGAACTAACGTAAGGATCCAAGGTGCTGCAACAGAACCCTACAGGTCTTAGTGGGAAGCTGAGGTTGGAACCTCATCTCCAACTCCCAGTTTCATCTCGTCCCTCCTCTTTCCTCAGGACACGTAGACCGTCCATGGAACCAGAAAACCAAACACTAGTCTCTGAATTCTTCCTCCTGGGACTCTCAGAAAAGCCCGAGCATCAGCCTCTCCTCTTTGGGCTCTTTCTGCCCATGTACTTGATCACCATCACCGGCAACCTGCTCATCGTCCTGGCCATCATCACAGACTCCCACCTCCACACGCCCATGTACTTCTTCCTTGCCAACCTGTCCTTCGTGGACATGCTCTTCTCGTCCACCACTGTGCCCAAGATGCTGGTGAACATCCAGACCCGAAACAGAGCCATCCCCTTCGCGGGCTGCCTGGTGCAGATGTATGCTTTCCATCTGTTCGGCACCATGGACAGCTTCCTTCTGGCTGTGATGGCCATCGATCGCTTCGTGGCCATTGTTCACCCTCTACATTACTCAGTCATCATGAGCCCCCGAGTCTGTGGGCTCCTGGCTGGAGGCCCTTGGGTGATCACCAATCTCCAGTCCCTCGTGCACACCTGCCTCATGGCCCGGCTGACCTTCTGCTCGGGTTCTGAGATCTCCCACTTCTTCTGTGACCTCATGCCACTGCTGAAGCTCTCCTGCTCGGACACGCACACCAACAAGCTGGTCATCTTTGTGTTTGGCATCGTTATGGGCATCAGTCCGCTGTCCTGCATCCTTCTCTCATACATCTGCATCTTCCGGGCAGTCTTCAAGATCCCTTCTGCCCAGGGCAAGTGGAAAGCCTTCTCCACCTGCGGCTCTCACCTCACTGTGGTCTCACTCTTCTACGGGACCATCTTTGCTGTGTACCTGCAACCTGCATCGCCCACATCCTCCCAGAAAGACAAGGCAGCAGCCCTAATGTGCGGGGTGGTCATCCCCATGCTGAACCCCTTCATCTACAGCCTCCGGAACAAGGACATGAAGGTGGCTCTGAAGAAGCTCGTAGGCAAAGCAGCCTCCTCTTAATCCTAGAAGAGAAAAGTTATTAGGCATCGCCTGCATTATTATGAGTCTCCTGCATCTAACACCACCTTAGGGACCTAGAGACGGATTCCATCTCCATCTGCCATGGATAGAATCTTAAAAAAAAAATGTATTTAATTCCTGACTCTTACATGTGTGGAAGGAGCCCCTTGGTGGCACAGATAGTCAAGCACTTGGCTACTAAGTGAAAGGCTGAAGGTTCAAATCTCTCAGGGGCACTTCGTGAAAACTCATAGACACAGTTCTGCTCTAATAGACCATAAATTAGAATCAACTTGAATGCAACTTGTTTGATTTGTTTGGGTTTGGTAACTGCATCCAAGATCAATTTTAAGCACAAGAGAGATGAATGTCACCAGTTATGGTGGTATTGTTCCTTTCTCCCTTATTTCCTCCAAAAAAATACATTGAACTCCTGGGTTTTATACCTGTAGAAAGAGTCACTAAGTGGTGCAAATGATAACACATTAAACTGATAATCAAGTGATTGGCGGTTCAAACTCACCCACGAATAGCTGGGAAGGAAGATCTAGTGGTCTGTCTTCAAAAGGGCAGAGCTTGGGAAACTCTGCAAAGCACAGCTCTGCCCTGTACACACGGGATCACCATGAGTCAGAGTTGACTTGCTGGCAACTGTTTTATTTGTTGTTGTTAATTTTTACCACATTAAAGACCACCCTTGAAGGCCACAAACATAGATAGGAAATGCTATGTGTTAGGGGCCAATTGGCAGCATCCTGATGGCTGAAGAAGAGATTGAAGTTGTAAACAATTACAGCTTCCTTGGCTCCACAATCAACACTCTTGGCACCAACAGTCAGGAAATCAAAAGACTAATTGTGCTGGGAAAATCCGCTGTCAGGGACTCCAGAGTATTGAAAAGCAGCTATGATCATCTAAGATATTAAGGTGCACCTGATCCAGTCCATGGTCTTTACAATTACTTGCTATGCAACAGAGAGCTGAAAAATGATTAAGGATGACAGAAGAAGAATTGATGCCTTTGAGTTGTGGTGCTGAAGAAGAATCTTAATCAAACCATGAACCACCAAGAAAACAAATAGGTCTCTCTTGGAGAGGGTGAAACCAAGTATCTCTTTGGAGGCTAGGATCTTGAAGCTCCATTTCACATACTTTGGGTATATGGCCAGGAGGGAACATGGAGAAGAACATCATGCTTGGAAGGGCGGAGAGACAGCACAGGAGAGGAAGACCCTGAATGAGATAGATTGATGCAGTGACTGGGGCAAAGGGGGATAGATGTGTCAGAGTCAGTGAGACTGGCTCAGGACAGGGTAGGCTTCAGAGGTGTTGTACAAAGGGTTGCTATGAATCACAGGTGACTCGATGGCACAGAAAAACAACAACAACATGTGTTATGGAGTCCATAGTTTCTTCCAAAAATACAACCCCTCACTGGTGGCATCATGTCTGTCTTTTGTCTTCAAGAGTGGTCTTAGATGTGGTCAAACAACCAAGTTGCTATCAAGTTGATCCCAACTCATGGCAACCCTGTGCATTTCAGCCCTTGAAGCTGTGGATGTGAGCTCGTTTGGCAACAGAGGCTACCTTTTGTTATGGCCGGAAGGCTCTACCAGTGTAAGGTGGTGGAACTCTGGTGGTACAGTCCACAGGGCTAATCCAAAGTCTAGATGGCTCCTGCAGTTCAAACCCAAGTCCTACTCTGCAGAAGAAAGATAGGCAATCTCCGCCCACCTAATTTAAAGTCTCAGAAACCCTCTATAGGGTCAGCTATGAGTGGATTCCAACTCACCAGCAATGAGGTTTGAGTTTGAGTATAAAGCGGGTCTAATACCTGATCACTTCTGAGAGTTATCTTATAAAAAGGAGAATTTAGACACACAAGGAGACACAGATGCTAAGAAACACCATGCATTGCCAAGATACTTGGCTACCAGTAGACATCTACTTACCAGTAGATGCAAAAACTAGGAAAGAGACTTCACAGAAGGAGTCAACATGGCTGAGATCCCAGCTTGGACTTGCGGGCTTCCAGAACTATGAGAAAATAAATTTCTCAGAGCTCTGGTGGCTTAGTGGCAAGAAGCTGCACTGCAATCCTGAAGGCACACAGTTCAAATCCACCAGATGCTTTGCTGGAAAAAGAGGGACAATCTCCTCCTGTACCAGTCAGATCCGATTTGACGGGACACACACACAAAACAATAAAATTAAAAAGAAAAAGAAAAGAGAAAAGGTTTCCTGACCAAAAAAAAATCTGTCCTTTAGAGCAGATCAACAGTGGTATTTCAGTTATATCAGCACTAAGAGACTAGCATACTACCCTCAAAAAAAAAAAACAAAAACAACCAAAAACCTCAAAGTCTAGCCTGATGTAAAGCCAGGTGTCATGGTGTCAACTTTGTCCATACGTGTGTCCAAGTGGACTGTGCTCCACAGGTTTTCAGGGGCTAATTTTTCAGAAGCGATCACCAGAACTCTCTTCTGAGGCACCTCTAAAAGGATTTTTTTTTCTAAAAGGATTTTAACTGTCAGTCTTTCAGTTAGCAGCCAAACTTGTTAAACTTATGCACAATCTAGGGACAATAAATAATTGCTGAGTGGATAATGCTAGTTGTTATAGATTGAGTTTCATCCCTCAAAAAAAGTTAGCTCCAAATCCTATCCACCACATGTGCTTTGTTGTTGCTGCTGCTGCTGCTGCTGTTGTTGTTGTTGTTGTTGTTGTAATGTGCCGTTGAGTCCTTTGGAACTCATAGCGACTTTATGTACAAAAGCCCTAAACCCTGCTCTATCCTGTGCCAATCTCACTGCCTCTGATACACCTACTCCCATTACCCCAGTCACTGAATTGATTCATCTCATCGAGGGTCTTCCTCTCCTGGGCTGTTCCTCCACCCTCCCAAGCATGACATCCCTCTCCAAGGACTGGTCCCTCCTCGCAACATGTCCAAAATATGTCAGACGAAGCTTCAGAATCCTTGCCTCCAAGGAGCAGCCCGGCTTCACCCTCTCCAGGACAAACCTATTTGTTCTCCTAGCAGTTCATGGTATATTCAATACTCTTCTCCAGCTCCACAGCTCAAAGGCATCAATTCTCTTTCTATCATCACTAATCACTGCCCAACTCTCCAATGCATAGCACACAATGTGCATTGTAACAAAATATTTGGCACCATCTTCACAATCACTGATATTTGAATCTGTTTCAGACATTGTTTCAATACATCTTGTCTCCCTCGTTTTCTCAAACCCTCTACTCTACCAAACACAATGCTCTTCTCCAGAAATCTATCCCTCCCTGATGAAATAACCAAGATAAACACGTTGACCTCTCGGACAATATTCCTGATCCGCAGGTGTTCTCTGTGACTGGTTTTCAGAAGCAGATTCCCGAGCTTTTCTTCCTAGTTGGTTTGAGTTTGAAATCTCTGCGGAAACCTCTCTACCACAGGTGTCCCAGCTGGTGTTTTAAACATCAATAACATCTCTTCTGTCATCACAGGAACACGCAAGCCACCAAGGGGAACGGACAGGTGGGCTGTGCGCTCCAAACTCGCATGGAAAAGTTTTCAAGTAATTAAGGCTGCAGTTGGAGAACATTGCCACCAGAGGGCGGTAGTGTCATTGCACAAAAAGGGATTGAAAGGTTTCCTGTTTCAGAAACAGCTCTCTTTGGTTGTCTGTGCCTTGACTCTAAAGATGTTTTGTGGCAGATGCCTTGCCAGTCAAAAGGTTGACAGTTTGAATTCACTAGCTTCTCCTTTTAAAGATTTGGTAGTGGTGGTGGTGGTGGTGGTGGTGGTCGTGGTGGTGGTGGTGGTGATGGTTGTTATGGGTTGCCAAAAAACCTTACGCACAATAGCTCTGAACTCTGCCCTATCCTGAGCCAATTGCACTGCTTCTGACACACCTACCTCCATACACCAGTTACTATCAGTCCATCTCATTGAGGGCCTCCCTCTCCTGCACTGTCCCTCTGACTTTCCAAGCATATGTCCTTCCCCAAGGACTGGTCCCTCCTAGCCGTGTGTCCAAAGTCTGTCAGCTGGAGCTTTAAAGCCCTTGCCTCCAAGGAGCAACTTGGTTTCACCCTCTCTAGGATAAACCTATTTGTTCTCTTGGCAGTTCATGGCATGTTCAATACTCTTTTCCAGCACCACAACTCAAAGACATTGATTCTTTTTCTATCGTCCTTAGGCATTGTCCATCTCTCTGAAGCATAGCAAGTTATTGCAAAGACCATGGCCTGCATCAGGTACATCTTAGTTTCTACACTGACATCGCTCCCTGACAGCAGATTTTCCCAATGCTGTTTATCTTTTGATTTCCTGACTGCTGGTGCCAAGAGTGTTGATTGTTGACCTGAGCAAACTGAAATTGTTAACAATCTCAATCTCTTCTCCTTCCATCGTGGTGCTGCCAACTGACCCAGTGGTAACTGCCTTGGAAACCTGATGGAAAGCTGATTTGAGTTGGACTTGACTCATCAGCAGTGGTGGGGTTTTGTTGTTGTTGTTGTTGTTGTTGTTTGGCTTGTGGCCCTTGAAGTTAGCCCATTTCTAGACATCTGAAGTGTCATCTATCCCTAGAAGAATCAGTGTGCAAAGTTACTGTGCTTTGAAGGAGCCTGACATGGGACTGGAGTGTGCTGAGGGACTGGGAAGGGAGGCCAAGGGCGGCATCCATGGGGATTGTTCCAAAGGGAAGCGGGATTCGAAAATAACAGGTATGTGGCTTCAGAGCATGCCTTCTGCTGAGCCATTCTACAGATTAAACCAGTTGTTGTGGTGTCTGTTTCAACTCTTGGCAACCCCACATGTTAACTGCGCTCCACTGTGTTTCATCCTGATTTTTCAGATGTAAATTGTGAAGCCTTTCTGCTCAGCTGCTTCTGGGTGGACTTGAACCATCAGTCTTATGGTTAGCAGTCAAGCAGGTTAACCATTTGCACCACCCAAGTGTCCATATGTTCCAAATGTCATTCCTTCTTCATTTTT